GTCTGTCGCGCACTCACGCTGCCCAGGCAATTGTCAACGTCCTCTTCGATCTCGCGGCGTATCCGAGCCACATCCCGGCCCTGCGGGAGGAGGCCGAGCGCGTGATCCGCGAGGAAGGATGGACGAAGGCTGCACTGAACAACCTGCACAAAGCCGATAGCTTTATCCGGGAATCGCAGCGCATCAACGGAACTGGACCACGTAAGGGCTCATAATCAGTTACTCGGTGTTCCTTACGAGCGCGGGACTGATTTGCAGTTTCATTGAACCGCAAGGTCGTCGCGAAGGACGGGTTTCGCTTTTCCGACGGGACGTTCATCCCGTACGGGTCCTTCCTGTCTGTATCTGGCCAACCTGTCCAGCACGATCCGGGTCAGTAATTTGTCAAGCATCTACTATCCCTTTGAACCAAGCCGTGTACAGCGAATTACGACAACCCGGAAGTATTCGATGGCTTCCGCTTTTCGCGGATGAGAGAACAAGGTAAAGACACCGGCGAGGGCATTTTCAAGAACCATATGATCTCAACCGCGCCGGAGCACCTCGTCTTCGGGCACGGAAAGCACGCCTGTCCTGGGCGGTAAGCGGATGCATTAATATATTTTTCTTCGATTTGTGCGCTGACTTGCGGCGCAGCTTCTTCGCCGCGACCGAGCTGAAGACGATCCTCGCTCATGTAGTGCTTACCTACGACGTGAAATCCGATATCGAGGGGGCGCGCCCGCCGCCGGCCTTTGGCGGGAGGAAGCGGGCGAATCCGGCGGCGAAGATCTGGGTTCGGAAGAGGCAGTGAAGGACGCGGGGTGCAACTTGGTTTTGGATAGAATATGCCTCTTAGTTTTGGACGGAATTAGCGTAACTTTCGCTTTCTGTCTCCTCCCAGTCCTCGTAGAATCGATATATGTTATCAATGATCCTGCGGGAATCAAATTTGAAAAGGCCTGCCCACTTCTATTGCACTAGAAAGTGAGGTCGTCAATTAGTAGCAGAGAACGGCCCAGTGGCGGATGGTCCGCGCCTGTCCCCAATTACTCTTACCGACTCATCTCAGCAAGGATGCTAGTTCGATTCGGGCCTGGGCCTCTTTGATTGTTTGACCGGTCTTTTTGTGCGAGATGCCTCGGTGGGTTCGACTGCTGTTAGTTATGCTCCATGGTTACGCAGGTGCATGCGCATTCTTCGTAGAATATTTTAACAGCAGGGCATGACTCTCGTGGGTTCCCACCGTCAGCACAACTTGAACTTACTTAGGGTGGGGAGCTGGAGGGTAAGGCCCAGTGGCGGATGGTCCGCACCTGCACCCATTATTCTTGCCGGACCATGGTTAGCGGGGACGCTCGTTCGATTCGGGCCTGGGCCTCCTGCTTTCTTTGGTGCCAGCTTTTTTGTACCCGGTGGGTTCGACTCTCATGTTCTCTCTCTCCGTCATATAGGGAATTCAAGTTTCGTCTGGACGTCCAACAATTACCGGTGAGTAATTGCAAGTCCAATCGTCCTCTCAATAGCAATTCGGTCGCGATTGGCCCAACTTCACTAGAATGGCAGGCTGGAGGGAACGGCCTGGTGGCGGATGGTCCGCACCTGTAACCAATAAGGTCGATGCCAGCTATTGCGGGGCGCTTGTTCGATTCGAGCCCGGGCCATGACGGTGGTGCGAGAATCTTTTTTCTTCATTCCGCATCTCATGCTTTTGAGTTTGAGGACACTCAATTTGAGCGCCCCAATTTAACGGACGTGCTTCACGATATTAATAGGAAGCCAGTATGATATTTCGTGTGTGATGCGCGATAGGTAAGTACATTGCGAATGCGAGGTGTGCCCACTAGCCCGAATAATAATAACCATAACCCAGTGACCAAGGACCCAAGAATATACGAGGAGAAGCGAAAGGAGGGTCGGAGTGCGTGTGTCGAGAAAGAGTCCATGTAAACAAGGAGTGCGTGGACGCCAGAGAAAATAAGCCCCTAGAAGATAGCAGTGTATCAGTGAGGAGACAGGGTCTAAGGACGAGGAAGCGCACCCTATGCCCATGTCCCGAGCGGCTCCCCCTTCTCCCGCGGCCACGCCGCCTCTGCGTCCCTCGCTGGGGTGCCCCGTCGTGGGGTGAGCTTGAACTCCGGGTTGTCGTTGGGGAGGGCGGCAGGGGGCTCGCGCAACATCGTCCTGAAAATCGCGTGGAGCGCGGCGAAGACGCCGAGGCTGGTGAGGCCCGTCACGCGGACGACGAGCAGCGGCGAGGGGTGGAGCTCGAAGAACGGGAGGAGGACGAAGGTGAGCAGGAAGAAGGAGGCCGTGGCGCAGAGGAGCAGCTCGCACACGAGGGCCGCGATGCGGGTGCCAGGCAGCGCGGGTGCGGCGCTGGCGTCGGGGGACATGACGGCTCTGGGGAGAGAGAGCACAAGCAGGCACACGCGTGGTCGACGGCGTATATATGTCGGCAATATGTTCGCCGCAATCAATGGCTTGGCGTGGGAATGTAGTTGACAATACATTCAACATCCGGGTTTCTCCCGTCCTGCGGTTCAAACCACAGGAAATCAGCTATAGTGCACCCGGGTAAACTCTGCAGGGGCTACAACGACTTTCCAACAGCAGTAGGTATGGCCAACCTTGATCGAACATTTCCTGTTCGGGATCGGGGCTTGGCAGTTTCGACGTTTCAGATCTCTCAAGCTTTTGACAGCGGGAAAATGTTCAACCGAGAGATGCCCAGACGGTGCAGACGATCCTTTCTACATCTCTCCAGCTATATCTCCATTGTCCAACTTAGTTGTGCTAATTGATTGAATTCAACGGGCATCAAACTCACCGTCATACAAAAATCTCAAGACGACCGGTGAAGACTCTGAAGAGGCCCAGGCCTGAATCCAACGGGCGGATGCGGACCATCCGCCACCGGCCTTACTAATTTACTACCCTAGTAAAGTTGAAGTTGTGCTGATTGACGAATTCAAGAGGACATCAGAAATGCACGTACTCGGTGCGCAATGTCAAGTTTTAGCCTATTCAACTGTGGAATAGAATTGGGGAGAGGACCAAAAAATGAAGGATTATGCGAAGAGGCCCAGGCCCGAATCGAACGAGCGTCCCCGCTGACCGTTGTTCGCCAGGAGTTATTGGGTGTGGGTGCGGACCATCCGCCACTGGGCCTTTCTATGGTGGAGTTGAAGCTCTACAATTTAATGAAAGTGGATTTGAAGCAGATCATTCAAGGACTACGAATGTTAGCCTTCTAAAAGAGACGGATGCCTTTGCTTTGGATATCCGGCGGGCATTTAACTCAAACTCACAGAAGCATCGTACAAAAAAGCCAAAGTACAGCGAAGAGGCCCAGGCCCGAATCGAACGAGCCTCCCTGCTGACGCGACGATCACAACAAATGATGAGGTGCGCGGGCCATCCGCTTCTGGGCCTTTCTCCCTCACTTACTGCCCTGGCAAAGTTGAATAAGAGTTTGTGCCGACAGGGGAACTCACGAGAGCTATTCACTGGGGAATGGCAACTTTCTGGAAATAGCATAAAAAATCTCCAAGCCAAAATGCAAGAGGCCCAAGCCCGAATCGAACGGGTGGTCTTGCCCAGACAATCTACAAAGATCTGTTGGGTGCAGGTGCGGACCCTCCGCTACCGGGCCTTGCTCTTTGGTTTCCCAGCTTGGTGAAGTTAAAGCTGTGCAATTGGATCTGTGGCGGAACATTTGAAAAGTGCAGTGGGAACTCAACAGAGTTCCAGTGCTCACTGCCGAATGTCAAACCTATAGACAGAAAAAAAATGTGCATGCCCCTGCGTCGAATAGCTCGCGGGCAGTCAACTTCAACTCAGCGGGGGACGAACAAGTAGGTGTTCCATTTCGACCGAGAATATTTGACGATCCCATGAGTGGGGTCAGAGCGAAAGGCCCAGTGGCGGACGGTCCACACCTATTCTCAGTAATTTTCCAAGAAGAAACCGATGCACCCACGGAACGCTCATTCGATTCGAGCCTGGGTCATAGCTCCATCACGATCTTTTTGTCGGGGTGCGTTCCTCAGCGAAATCTTTGAAGATAACAAGGGTAGCAAGTAAGAGCGAAAGGCCCAGTGGCGGATGGTCCGCGCCTGCACTCGGTAGACCTGCAGATGCCAAAGTGATGCACGCAAGGAATGCTCGTTCGATTCGAGCCTGGGTCATATGTCAGGTCGCACGGTTTTTGTCGGAGTGAGCTCTTCTCATTCACCGAAATATTCTGAAAAACGGAGGGTACTAGGTAGGGAGGAAAGGCCCAGTGGCGGATGGTCTGCGTATGCTCCCAGGATATGGGTGTTATAGGTCGCTCGTTCGATTGGAGCCTGGGGCATATGCAATGGAGCTGGCGAAATTTTATTTTGGCGAGGCCGACTCTCGAATGCTACACGTTCCTGCGCAATAAGTCGAATGTGCCGAGGTCCGCGAGTAAGGGTGTAAGGCCCAGTGGCGGACGGTCCGCACCTGCCCTTAGTGGTCCTGCCGGTTGCGAAAATGATGCACGCAGGGGACGCTCGTTCGACTCGAGCCTGGGCCATGAGCAGGACCTGTTATTTTGCTCCATTCGAGATTCACAGGAATATCCCAACATTCCCGAGGTCAGGGATACGAGTGCAAGGACCCAGTGGCGGATGGGCCGCGCCTGCTCTCAATAATTCTGCCCGTTGCCAATATGAGGCACGCAGGGGACGCTCGTTCGATTCGAGCCTGGGCCATAATTGAAGGTGCGGATGTTTTCTTTTTCATTTAATTTGCATTCTCAGAAATGCTCGAACATCCACGGGGTAGCCACTAAGAGCAAAAGACCCAGTGGCGGATGGTCCGCACCTGCTCTCAATAATCCTGCCCATTGCCAATATGAGGTACGCAGGGGACACTTGTTCGATTCGAGCCTGGGCCACAAGATGGATGCCTTTATCTTTTTACTCTGGGTAAATTCCCGCCGATCAATGCCCAGGAACATTTCAACTTCCTTTGAGTATCGAGTGAGAGCGCAAGGCCCAGTGGCGGACGGTCCGCGCCTGCTCCTAGTACAGTAACATCGAAGATGGTGCACGCAGGGGACGCTCGTTCGACTCGAGCCTGGGTCATGTCGAGAAGATGAAACTGCTTTTTATTCTGCAGCGCATTGACTCGAATTCCGGTCCTCCGAGTCCACTCCCAGAAATATTCCAACTTCCCTTGAGTGGCGGGGAGGAGCGTAAGGCCTAGGGGCGTCGGAAGCTCCCGATGCCGACGGAGATACGCTGACTTGCTGACGCGCGGGTTTGAATCCGATGGCGATTCTCAGATATTTACGAAGATACGACTGACTAATACGCGTACTAGGTAACTACGTCGACAGAACGGAAACGGATTTCGCCCCTGACGCGCCACGGCATACTTACGCGTCCCCTCGGCATACTTGCGCCTTCCCGGCAGCTCCACCCGTCGCCGTCGGAACAGGGGTGGGTCAGTGAGAATACCTAAGCTATCATCAGATATTCGCATACTCGGCGCCTGGCTCTGGATTTCAACCAAATTGTGTTTTTCAACTCCGTTCTCGGCAACGCAGCGGGAGTCAATGACATCACGCGGATCATCACTGCTGCATACGGCATCTCTTCGTCCTCTGCTCTCATTCTAATTTTTCTGCTGTCTATTAGCCACAGGTTATTCTCAGCGCTGGTGCCGAGTGCTGCACCCCACGACGCATTATTGTATGGTGCTTTGCGTAAGCTACGAAATAGGGATGACACCCATCAGATCGATCCGGAAAGACAACCGGGAAAAATATTCGCATCTATTTTCGTCCCCCTGATAAAGCACCTATGTAACCACCTCATACACACCGTTCTCCCTCCCATCCAACCTCGACATGAGCTTCTGCAAAGACTGTATCACCGGCGTCACCCACGAGGGCACCCCCGAAGGTGCGTCGGCTCTCGGGGCGCCCAGCAACCCCAGCGCGAGCTCTGCGCTAACGGCGCCGCAGGGACGATCGAGACCATCGGCGGCGTCGCGTGCTACGTCGCAACCCCCACTGTCGACTACCCCAAGGACAAGGTCCTGCTCTTCCTCACGGACGTCTTTGGGCTCGAGCTCGTCAACAGCAGGGTGCGCAGCGCACCCTCCCCGCTGCCCGGCCTCAACTTACACACTCACGCACGCAGCTCCTGGCAGACGACTTTGCGCGGAACGGGTTCAAGGTGCGCTGTTGGCACTACGCGCACGGAGCGGGCTGGCTGATTCGATGATTAATCCATTCATCTGCAGACGATCATCCCGGACTACCTGCACGGCGACGCCATCCCCGCAGACGTTATCCCCCTCGGCGTGCGCCTTACCCTCTTCCCTCCCCTCCCTTTCTCCCCGCGCGCTAATTGTTTTATGGCAGGGCGCGTTCGACATGGCCAAGTGGTTCACGACGCACGGGCCGGGCGACACGCGGCCGCACCTGGACGCGGTGATCGCAGCGCTCAAAGTGGGCGGTGTCTCGTCCTTCGGCGCGGCGGGCTACTGCTTTGGCGGACGCTACGCCTTTGACCTGGCGTTCGACGGCCTGATCAACGCCTGCGTCGTCGCGCACCCGTCGATGCTGCAGGTCCCCGCCGATCTCGAGGTCCGCCCTCTTCCTTTTCCCATCAACTTTCTGGTGAAGCTGACATGGGGCATAGAAATACGCGTCGACCGCGAAGGCGCCGCTGCTGATCAACAGCTGCCCGATGGACCCGATGTTCCCGCCCGACGCGCAGGCGCAGGCCGACACCATTCTCGGCGGGGAGGGATTCGCGCCGGGATCCGAGTCCACGCTCGCCTTCAAGCCGGGGTACAAGCGCCACTTCTTCGAGGGGTGCAAGCACGGGTTCAGCGTGCGCGGCGACCTCAGCGACCCGCTGGTCAAGGCAGGGAAGGAGGGCGCGTTCCGGGCGACGGTGGAGTGGATGATCAAGTATCTGTGAGAAGGATACGTAGATGACTCGGAGGAGTATGTACTCCGAAGGGCAGGAATTAAATTCAGATGTACAGCGCGCGCGACGGCTATGGTATTGCAATTGGACGAAGACTGCATGTCTCGAGACGCTCCAACTCTACAACCTCAACACGCTGGTAAGGTAAGGAGAAAGGCCCGGTGGCGGATGGTCTGCACCTGCACCCGATAATCATCCTCATCATCTGGATCTGTAGATCACTCTGCGGGGACGCCTGTTCGATTCGGGCCTGGGCCACTCGGCATAGGCTGAGAGATTTTTTGTCTTTCTCCAGGTATCTGTGTTTCATTTCTTCTAATTTTTGCCTCAAAGTATCTTCTGGGTTCTACAACGCGACGGGACACTGGGTGCGTGAGCTCGGCTTGGGGGATATTATGAGGTCGGGGACGATGGGGTACACTAAAACTGCCTGTAGTACTCCGGGATACTTCCCGAAACCGGCGTTCCTGAGCGGGACCGTGCCGTGTAATGCTACCTACCTACCTACCTACTCCACGTCCATTTCAGAGTCGAATAAGACCTTGAAGTGCCTCTATTTATCTTGTCCTGCGTCTGAAATTTTAGATTGCATAGTGAGTGCGTGGATTCTAACCTCCTCTTGAATTTCATCGATCAGCAACGCTTCAACAGGGTAAGAAGTTAGCGATAAAGGCCCAGTAGCGGATGGTTGGCACCTGCACCCTATGCCTGGGGATTTTGATTACAGTCAGCGGGAACGCTCATTCGATTCGAGCCTAGGCCTCTTTGCTAACGTCAAGAGCTTTTTGTACCGTAGGTTCGATTTAACTCCTCCTTATCCAACGGCAGCAGGGGCAGGGTATTATTTACAGTAATCTGGACGTGTGCCATTCTGCGGTGAACGCATAGCTCTCTTGGACTTGAATTTCCACCGTATGCATCGGCGACAAATCCAGCTTTGTCATGCTGATAGGTGGAGCAGAAAGGCCCAGTAGCGGATGGTCCGCGCCTGCATCCAATAGCGCTGTAGAAACCATTCAGAACGCTTGTTCGATCCGGGCCTGGCCGTGTGTGAGGTTGACTCTTTTTAAATGCTGTGTACTACGTATCTTTTGACGAAACAGAGTCGGAAGTGTATGCTGCATTGACCAGGACGGAGACCCAAATAAAGAGGGTTTTACACTCAATGAGCTCCGAGCGAATGAATGCCGCGGGACAGCGACAACCATATATCAATGCAATGCTGGTGCCGGGAATTCTTTCTGAACGGTTCACATTCCGCGCGGAATGTGCAGCACCGTCGACACAAATTCAACTTCGTCAGGCTAGTAAGTGAGGCAGGAAGGCCCGGTGGCGGATGGTCCGCACCTGCACTCAATAGCTCTTTGGCGATTGCGTTCAGCAAGGACACCCGTTCGATTCGGGCTAGGCCTCTTATCAGAAAGTGTGTGGCTTTCGGAGGAATGGCAAACTGCAGACTTCAAAATGAATAAAAGGATCGACATCTTAACACATGACTCAGGAGTCGAACGAGCGATATCGGTGGCCGTTCACCGACAGCAGGTGCAGACCGTCCGCCACTGGGTCTTTCCCTCCTCCCCACGACCCATGCTATGTTGAAATATTTCTGAGAATGTAAGAGGTGCTCACTCGGACAGAAAGGATCCATATGGCGACATATGACCCAGGCTCGAGTCGAACGAGCGTTCTCTGCACATATTCGTGGAAAACATAGCATACTGAGAGCAGGTGCGGACCATCAGCCACTGGGCCTCTTCTTCATATCCGCGACCGTGGGGATGTTGGATTAGGGGTCGAGGCGAACTCACGGAAAAAAGGAAAAGAGTTTAGGCCCGTGACCCAGGCTCGAATCGAACGAGCGTTCTCTGCACATACTCGTGGAAAAACATAGCATACTGAGCAGGTGCGGACCATCCGCCACTGGGCCTTTTCTTGATACCTACGACCGTGGGGATGGATTAGGAGTCGAGGCGAACTCACGTGAGGAAAAAGAAAAAATCAAACCCTCGACCCATGACCCAGGCTCGAATTGAACGAGCGACTCCTGCGTGGCAACGACCAGTCTTACTGAGAACAGGTGCGGACGGTCCGCCACTGGGTCTTACGGTCTTACTCCCTCCTGATGTTTGAATGTTCCTGTGAATGTAAGAGGAGCCTACTCCTTGAGAGCAGGTGCGGACCATCCGCCACTGGGTCTTACACTCCTACCTGCTACCCTCCGTATGCCAGACTATTTGTGTGAATGTGAGAAGAGCTACTAGAACTCACTCCGGCAAAAAAGATCTCGGTGCGACCTATGACCCAGGCTCGAGTCGAACGAGCGAGTCCTGCGCGCATCACCCCGGCAACCGGCAGGATTACCGAGAGCAGGTGCGGACCGTCCGCCACCGGGCCTTTTGCTTTTCCCTGCTACTCAAGAGATGCTTGAATGTTCCTAGCGCATCGTGAAATTATAATAAAATAAGCGAGATAGAAATGAAGCCCCATCGTGCACTTTGAGCCCCAGGAACCTTGTTCGGTTTTTAGAGGATTTTTTTTTCAGCCCCACTAATGTCGCAGATATGAGGGACATGGAACCGTCACTGCGTATGGCGCTGTTCCGTAGACCGTGGGTATGTCGGTCATTGTTCATAGCGTATTTGATCGATGGCCGAAGAGGATTGTCATATCCAAGGTCATATCAGTTTTCAGACTCTGATAAACGGAAAGAACGCTTTGAGAAATTTATGATTGGACAGCTCAGCTCGTTGTTCCCGAGCAATACGCTGCAGCGGGTTACTTGTGCGCGTTATACATTAATGTTCGCCCAAAGCATTACTCTTTTGCAATCACTAAAGATCGTGTTTTAGTCACTGATCTTGAGAACGGTTCCGATTTGGTTCCGATTATGCAGTAAGTCATACTCCCGGACATATGGCCCCCGGCATCATCATCGAACATTTTTGTGTCGGAGGCTCTCGGAGCCCGGCGCAAGCCTGCCGTTGATTTTATTCTCGTTCCACTCTCGTACCTTTTCGGGACCGGCGGGGACCCGCGGGGTTTGGGCGGGAACGATTACTACGGACTTTGCGTCCCTTGCATGCAGCGAATAATCAGAGCCGTGGGAGCGGTGACTAAAATAGGACATATGTTGCCGAATC